ATATCTTACTTATACCGTTGTCTGTCAAACATAGTGTACATTTTGGATCAAAACGTATGTTCTTAGACAGAGCTTCTACTTGTTGCTCTTTCTGAAAATGTTTATTTAAAGATTAAACCAGAAACATGTAAAAAAGCCAAATTTTCATAACGCAATAATAAGTTATTAAAATATGAACATTTCAAATGGATGCATAAATGCTTATATCACGTATATACATGCATATATTTTTTAATCTTTTTTTTTTTTTATCATTTTCAGATTGAGGTGCATTCTAAAGTTTTTAGCTATTTTAAATTGATTATAATTAAGCATTTTACTGAGATTATTCCTGTTCTGTTTTTTTTTTTCTTTTAGTCTTTTTCTTAGTCTGTTCACCTTCATATAAATATAAGGAGTATTTTGCAAATTTATTAGTCTGTTGATTTTTTTCTTTTTTTCAATTAATCGATTATTAATTGGATAACCAAAGGTTTCTTAAAAAAGACTTTTTATAAAATTAGACCAGGTGAAACTAAAACTTTTCAACTTGAGGATTTCTTAATAGACAAAATAAAAAATAAAAAAAATCCTAAATTCAAAATGTTCATAAATATATATATTTTTTACAATTTTGATATAAGCGCAGCTCTAAGTGGATCACTCTGTCAGCTAAAGGCGTGTTTTACAGTCTCTCTACTCCAGTTAACGATTAATCGATTACTAAATTAGTTGACGATTATTTCAATAATTGCTTAATCAAGATTAATCCCATTAATCGTTTCTGCCCTAATATAAAGTATCCCCTTCATCCCAAAATAGCACCCTGACTCCCAATACCTCCTATAACAGTAGCTCACCCTAGTTGCATACAAAGGCTTTCAGAATAATGGCGCCCTGTTGGCTTATTATATTTGACTTCTGTGTTTCACATTTTATTCTTGCTGTATGTATGTTTGGAGGTATTTTTGCGCGGTTTTGCATATTTACCACAAGAGGACCATGCGACTGGGGGTATGTTATTATGCATGTGTGCCAATAGTAAAAAAAGAGAGAAATATAGCAAGCCAGCTAGAAGAAATTTTTGCCCCAGAAGTGCATTAAAATACCGGATGCAGAGTGATACTGATGAATAGTGCTTGGAATATATTATGAAGGTTGGTGTTCACTGAAGTGCGAGTTAAGCGTCAGGGCCATTCATATTTTAATGCTAAGTTGATTGAAATTCTGGTAGCAGATGGCGCACATCAGTGTTTGTTTTCTGGTTGCATCCAGCGCAAAAACATATTTTTAGGCTCAACATTGACTAAGTAAACACTAGTGTTTTATTTGAGGATATACATATATATATATATATATATATATATATATATACATATATGTATTTTTTTTCTGTGTGTGTGTTCTGTCTATCCATAGTACATGGCTACGCTCATTTAAGCTTTGATAATGACACGTATAGGATGCAACATTGCTCCTGCAATTTCACACCATTTATTTATATAAAGTTGCACTTATTTTTTAAACTAAAATCTTCTAGACGTTATGAGAGAGTCAGACCGCTGCACAAATCCTTTCCTATCAGATAGGAATAGGGATAAGGTCTGCCCTATCAATGCCTGAAAATTATCAGATATGCTGCCGAAAACGCCAATGAAAGAAGAAAATTAGAAACAGAATAACCTGTAGCCTTGTTTTTAAGAATTTTAAGGATCTAATGTCCTCCTTCTGATCCTACCTAACCTAAACACTTCCAACTAAGGCTAGGCAATTAATTACATTTGCAATATAATCGCAATTTTAAAAAACCCACAAATTTCAAATCACAGAGGCACTGATTTTTAATCACACTATATTTAATAACAGTAAGACACTAAATTTCTCCCTCCAGCCCTTTACTTGTTGATTAAATGCTTGAAGTGGGTCTGTTGCCACACAGAAAGGTAGAGACAGTTGCAGCTAGCATACATTCAAGTAGAAGTAAACACTTTTTCACACAATGGTTACAGTAAATTCCTGTAACAATGGACCCTGCACAAGTACGCTTTGAAAAACTGAAAGCCTGGGGTGAAACATTTGCAAGATTGGGGTCAGTGCAAATGAAAAATGAAATGAAATTGCAATTTTGGGTTAAAAATAATCGCAATATACATTTTTGGCTAAATCGTTCAGCCCTACCTCCAACTACAGCAATCCCAGATCATAAGAAAAGCTAGTGGGATAGACTTTAGAAATTATGGATGTCTCTTCATGCAGTCCCCGTCTTACCCTGATAAATCTATCACTGAAACAGCTACAGTAACCACAGTCTGTTATGTTTATACCAACTAAATGAAAGCCCATTTTGTACCAAATTAACCTCAGAGAACATGTTTTTAATGCTACACGGGTATTTCCAATTCGTTGACTTATCTTTGCATGTTTTCACTAGTTAGCAAGGCTAAATGTTCTGCTGTTTTTATTACAGTTTAATTTAACCTATTTCACTGATCACAACCATCCAAAAAAATAGGGACAGTTTGTTTAACTCTATTGCGGTTGTTTCAGCAATCTCCTTTGATGTTTGATGTGCTTACTGTGATCGGTGTACCTGCATCAAGCAAATCAGCTTCATCTCTTAATGACTACATATTTCAATGTAATAATAAACAATAAATGGTTACATTAAAGCATTTTTAAATATCCTTGTTTTAAAAAATGGCTAGATCTTCTAGATCTATTTTTTTTTTTTACTGAATAATATTCTGTGTGTGAGCAGCACCCATAAAAGTCCTATACTGCTACAGTTAAAGGTGATTGGCTTAAGAGTCCAAGTCAACCAATCAGATGTTCGTGTCTGTTTAACCCTTACTACTGTGTCTCTGCAAACAAGGTAGGGTACACTGCAAAACAGCAAGCACAGGATTATAAAGTTTACGATAAAAAGTTTGTATTTTGACATAACTTTTGAAATTATTGTATTATTTCAACACATATTTAATCACGTTTTAAAATAAGGATTAATTATTAATATTATTTATTCCTACTTTGCGATGCAGCGGTCAGACCAAGTTCAGTCAATTGCTTGAATTGAATTCATTGACAAAGCTTTCTTTTTTCAATTATATATCAGTAAAAAGACTGTTTTGACTCCAATTAGTCACCTGCTTTAATTGTTAATAATTTCACAGCTCGTTCTGAAGCATAGTTAAAACACGTCATCATCCTACATGGTAGATTAAACTTAAATGCACTAAAGAACGTAGAAGTAAGGGAATCTTTTATTGCATTTTGTATGGCTGCAAAGCACAAAGGAAAACTAATCAAGCCTATAATTATTATTAGTGGCATGCATCCATCCTCTGGAGGCCATTTGTAGGAGGTGAGGGGGTAAAATGGATGCTTCATTGAGCCAGTCTCCATGGCAACTGGCAGTTTCGACTCTATCTGGGTTGGGGGCAGCGTGTT